GGACTGTGTTGTCGAGCTCTCCGGAGGCACCCGACGTGTTTTGTGTGTGATTGTGCAGCTTCTCGCTGTGTGCTGTGTGCCAGGAGGTTTAGCTTGTTCCTGCTTTGTTTTGCTTGAGGCACTTTTTACCTTCTGCCAGTAAATCCATTAGGCCGACGTCACAGTGAGGGACGGAGACGCCTCGCCAGCTCCGCGCCGGTCGTCGGCGCCACTCGAAGTGTTTCCCCCATCGGAGTCGGAGACCTCCGGCGAAGACTCCTCCTCGGGCGACTCGACAAAGTCCTAGGAGGAGCTGTCCTCTGGCTCGAGAAGTGCTTGCGCCCGCAAGGGCGTCATGCGCCTCGCACCGACTGACCACTGTCAGTCGAGACGTCCGCTGCCGCCACAAAGCTGGCGGCCGCGGACGGAGAAAGGGCAGCCGCCGACAAGGAGCCGGCGCTGCCCGGGGGTCCGCCTGGGGCAGTAAATCCATTAGCGGACAGAGGGAGGCTGGGCACAGGAGCACGGTACCGCTCGAGGTGACGCATCCAGTCCTCCTCCTGGTCGGCACTTCGTGCCTGATGACGGACCTGCTGCTGAGGTCTTGGCTCGCAAACGCGCCGCCACCTATCAGCGCCTCACTATGCAGCTGACGCTGGAGGCGCTCTTGTCTGGTGCGAGGCGCATGACGCCCTTGCGGGCGCAAGCCTGCGGCACTTCTCGAGCCAGAGGACAGCTCCTCCTCGGACTTTGTCGAGTCGCCCGAGGAGGAGTCTTCGCCGGAGGTCTCCGACTCCGATGGGGGAAACATCCAGAGTGGCGCCGACGATCGGCGCGGAGCTGGCGAGGCGTCTCCGTCCCTCACTGCCGGTTCAGCTTGTTCCTGCTTTGTTTTGCTTGAGGCACTTTTTACCTTCTGCCAGTAAATCCTATACTGGCTCACTGTGTCTTTGTTTTGCTCGAGGCACTTTTTACCTTCTGCCAGTAAATCCATCTACTGTGACGTCGGGTGCCTCCGGTGCCTGGAGGTTTAGCTTGTTCCTGCTTTGTTTTGCTTGAGGCACTTTTTACCTTCTGCCAGTAAATCCACTATCTTCTAGCTCGACACCACTGGGGTGCTTGCTGCTGGTCCGAGCTCGCCTGCTTCCTCCCCGGCATCGGTCGGGTCACGCCGGTCCTTGGGCATTGCTGCGGCGTCGCCGCCGTCACGGGCGGCTACCGCTGACTCGGCTACCGCTGACTCGGAGGCTAGCGAGGAGGACTAAATATAGGATTTACTGGCAGAAGGTAAAAAGTGCCTCAAGCAAAACAAAGCAGGAACAAGCTGAACCGGCAGGCACACAGTCCACAGCGAGAAGCTGCACAAACACACACAAAACACAAGCCCGAAAAAGAACCAGCACTGCTG